CATCTTTAAAAAAAAAAAAAAAAGTAAAAAAGAAAAAAAAGAAAGAAAAGATGGAGTCTCACCCTGTCACCCAGGCTGAAGTACATTGGCATGATCTCAGCTCACTGCAACCTCTGCTTCCAGGGTTCAAGCCATTCTCCTGCTTCAGCTTCCTGGGTAACTGGGATTACAGGTGCCTGCCACCACATCCGGCTAATTTTTGTATCTTTGGTAGAGACGTGGTTTCACCATGTTAACCAGGCTGCTCTCGAAGTCATGACTTCATGATCCACTCGCCTCGGCCTCCCAAAGTGCTGGGATTACAGGCGTGAGCCACCGTGCCTGGCCTAATTAATTAATTTATTTAGCAATCCCAGGATGAAGACAGATTTTACTATTTTAAAAATAACAGGCCAGGAATGATGGCGCACACTTGTAATCCCAGCTACTCAGGAGGCTGAGGCTGGAGAATCACTTGAACCCAGGAGAAGGAGGTTGCAATGAGCCGAGATCATACCACTGCACTCCAGCCTCAGCCACAGCCTGTCTCAAAAAATAAAAAAAAATGGAGAGAGAGAGGCTGTTTTCTGATCCAGAGGACATAAATGCCTCACTGGCAAGATAGAAGATCCCCAGTTCAGACAGCTACCTGGAGAAGTTGACCTCTAGGCTGAAAACTCAAGGATGAACGTTGCCAGATGACAAGGAGGAAATGACCAGAAGTGGTGCTCCGGGCAAAAGGACCAGCAAGTACAAAGGTCTGGAGGTCATGTCTTGTTTCCGAAAATGAAAGTGTTTGAGATCGATACTGTAGGAAGTGGGAGAGGAAATGATGAGGTCAGAGAAAAAGAAAGGCAGGAAGTCCACTTAAAGGAATTGCAATTTAACCACCCCTATTCATCGCTTCCCGCCCTCATCCCACTCCCAGGACCATGCCTCAGTCATGGGGTTTTTACACTCTCTCACTTCAAGCTGGGCACAGTTTCTGTATCTCAGCCAATGTGTCATTCATCAGCAGATCAGGTCATCCCCTCACCCGATCCACACCATAGTTCTAGAATGTCAGCTGATCCTCATGAATTGGACCACAAAGCTTCCAGAGTTTTACCAGGCAAAGAAATCTTACATTGAAAATCAAGGGAATCTTAATAAATATTATACCACTGGGTGCATCCCCCACAGATAGGCAGGCAAATTTTGTTCAATTGGAGGCATTTTATGACTACGTCTAAAGCCACCATTGTTTTTTTTTGTTTTTTTTTTTTTGAGACGGAGTTTCGCTCTTGTTACCCAGGCTGGAGTGCAATGGCGCGATCTCGGCTCACCGCAACCTCCGCCTCCTGGGTTCAGGCAATTCTCCTGCC